CTGCATCCGCCATCTAGTTTAATTTTTGTCTGATTATTCTTACCATGAAATGATTCTCAAATGAATTTGCTTTTTTTTTTTAGGATAACGATAAGATCGTTCAGGCCTTATGGAATAAAGTGATGCCATATCACCATTACCATCATCGCCGTCACCTAGTGATGTATTAGGAAAGGACAAAGTATTGATATCATTGTTATCATTCTCCAAATATTCTTGACTAACCATTTGTTTTTATCAAGCTATCCTTTGAATGCACGATATCGATGACTTTATGAATTTCTTAATATACAAGGTGCACGCCCTCTACTTTGAATATCATCTCACCCAACCTGCGAAATGCCATAGAATAACCCCCAAAAAAAAAATCCAATTACCATTTTCCAGGCGATGCCAAGGACCGCAGTCCTCACGAATCCGAGTTTGAATGTAAATCCCTTAAAGCTCCATCGAGACTATAAAAGAATTTGACTAGGAATATGAATACATTATTTAATTTACACTGTTAAGAATTAAATGTGTTTTCATACCGCAAGCACTTTAATATACAAGTTCTTGACTCGCGTCATTGCTTCCATAAGAATCGACAACAACTTTTATATACTTTGTTTTTTTTTAAAAAAAAAAAATGTATATACTATAAGAATTAGTTATTTAGAACTTAATAAAGATTTGAGAATATTATTGATTAAATACCTACATTAGCGCTTGGTTCAATATAAAACATTTGGTATCAATACGTAATGGATCCAAAATCTCTTCTTTATTCCCAATAATTCGCGCAATAGGGATGTCGGAATTGGTAAGAACAAAAAGCCCTTTGAAGGGTTTGTCTTCAGGTGGATATCCCTTGTAATTTTTTTTTCTACCTCTTGCCGAGCCTTTTTCTACGTTCAATCATTTGCTTTAGTTTGTCAATTAAGATACTTTTCAGGTTTTCCCCAGCCCTTGGATTTTTGTTTCTTGCGTAATTTATCTTGTCTCTCTAACACGTTATCAGCAAGTGAATTCCATTGTTCGATAGCTTGTTCAATTTCTTTACGTGATCCCACATTTCAATTTGCTAGAATATAATTCAATCAAGTAATGAAAGTTTAACACAAATATAAATCACGCTACAAAAAGTTAGAATAATTAATGCTTACAGCTTCTTGCTCATTATGAAGCATATATAATACAAATTATGACTGAAGTAATCACTTTATTTAATAAGCTAAATTATCGAATTCTGTGAACTATATGTTGCATATATTATAATAAATAATTTTGAAACAATTGCTTTTTGTTTTCACAAAAGAACAACTAGCAAATGATTTTCTATGCAGTATACTGAAAAATATTCATATAAAATATAAAATTTACAAGTGTTTTTTATCTTGCCTCGAAGCATCAAAAAAAAAATCTCCAAAAGCATATATTAAAAGTAGGGAATTATTTGAGGATTGGCTTTATAATCCCAATTCCTAATATTCAATTAAAATACTTAAAAAATCATTATTATTATTCATATCGATATAGTTTTGAATAATTATTACCATATTTTATAGTTTAATAAATAAAATGTTTCATAAGTAACAACGATCGCTAATGATTTTGCAAAATTTTTAATCTATGCCAGGTGAGTGTATATTATAATATTACATTTATCTCTTACATTCCGTATAATAAAACCCATTATTGAATATATGGTACATTATATTTCTTTAAATTTGTACTACAATCTTTCAAAAGTATATTATACCGATCATACAAAGTATATTCATCGTAAGGTAAACTGCTATTCTCAAGAGGTTTCAACTTCAACGATTCATCAGGTTGCGTATATTTTTCATTTATTTCGCGCAATAATTCCTGTTCTTCCTCATCTTCATATTGTTCACTTAAACACTGAAACACATCATTTTTAAGCTTTTTAAATAATTCATCCTCTGCACAATTTGATGCTCCAATATATCCCACAAGTAAAGATAAAGCGCGTAATGCATCTTCAAGTCCACGCTTAACATATTTAGCATCAAGATATTTAGAATCGAAATTATTAAGCACTCCTTCGTAAATGATCTAAAATATTGTACATAATAGTTAATAATATATAATATTAAATTTAGATAAAAAATATATATATATATATTGAAATAAATGACGAATATATACCTTCAAACATGCTCTAGCATAAGCATCAATTTCATTTGAACGTCGTAATTTTTCTCCATGTAGAGTTACCAGATTTCCTTTTTCGTCCTCTACAACAAGCTGGTTGAGCCAGTCATTTTCCAGGTTTATTGCATGCTTAAAGTAAACAAGCGCATGATTGTATTCATCACTCTTAATACGTTCTAACCCTTCAACAAAATACACAGTTATCTGTTTATATTTGTTAAAGAGTTCTACATATTCTTTATAAGGTGATTCGTCTCGATATCTAGTATCCAGCGGAGAAGGTTCATCCCATTCCAACTAAAAGCCAGTTTAATTAATTTAAAGGTTTATGATAGGTGAATATATAAAATAAATAACTTACATCTATATGGTTAGTATCGTAATATTTATGCATTAAGTTTTTAAACAAATCAATTTGTTCAAGCTTAATACAAAATATTTCGAATCTAAAAATCAATAAATGATCACATTTAAATTAACTTATAACGTATTACCTATACATCATTCTATAACATAAACGTACAATGTTACCTTTTGTTGATTTTTGGATGAATTGATACCATATTTTCCGCCTGACGTATAGTAATTTCGATTTGGCTATCAATTTTTTGCATAATTTTTTGTTCATTTAATTCTTCATTACCGCCACTATATGTAGAATCAGAATTCCATTCCCCTTGAGTATTCTGATATTCAGTTTCTTCCGTAGTAATCATATATTCATCTTGATTGTTCACAGGATCATTATTACTAAATAATTCATCTTCAAGTGCGTGATTATCCTTTTCCACATAATCCTAAAGAGCAATAATAATTAATTTTAAAAGCACGTATAGGTATAAAAATCATTCCCTTTTTTTTTGCAAAATAAAAGGCAAATTGTAACAAACCTTAAGTGAAGGAATGATAACATCATTAATTTCCGAAATGTTATAATCGTAATCAGCATCAACGTAGATAAGAGTATACACGCCAGAGTTCACGTAAGGTCCTGACATATCATTGAGCACTTGTTCTTCAAATGTCTATAGAATATTACAGATTAATACGTAGTTCTTACAAATATATACATATATAGATTTCGATCTCACCTCTGAAACAGTCGTATCACAGAATTTCCACCAACTACCATTTTCATCGTTACTAGAATAATTGGTTTCAGTTTTATTGCCTCTTATATAGGCATAATGTTGTCCTTGTCCAAATTGACTATCACGCACTAAAACAGCCTTGAGCCGATAAACGACTGTTTTCATATCTGGTGTATCAAAAATGTCCTTAATTTTTCCATCTATTTCATCTTTTTTCTCCAAGAGGACTAATTCCAAAATAGAAATAATATATATATATTTACGTATATTTACTTATAATCTAATAATAATAATAATAATAATAATAAAGAACTCACCTCTAAGCTTCTGTTCAACATTTTCTAAAACCCCCTCTAAGAAGGAACATACTTTTTGCGCATTTTCGTCCTCAACGCCATTATCACTTGCTTTACCGCATTTACGACGAAAATAATCAATCGAACCTTTGAGTAAATCTGAACCATCATGTCTTCCCTAATAATAATATTTTGTTAAATGTGCTCAATTAAAAGTCAATCCTAGTACGGCTATTTACCTGAAATTCTGTTATTTTTTTAATATCCTGATTTATGTCTTCTAGTTCTACCTTAAGGTCCTCCAAGTGTTGCCATCGTCTCTCAACATCATCTGCTTTACTCAGCATATATCGATCCATATATAATTCCTTAGGAATCTGAAATCCCGTACTTCCAAAAGAAGATGTGAAACTATTATCAGTATATCCGTCTTGTTTCAAGTTTAAAATCAAAATCTTTGCAATATCTATGAAAAACAATTTATGCATCGTCTCTGCTTTAGATCGTACTTTTCGATCAAACGCAGCATAAATTGTATTACAACTCGGAGTAATTTCTAGAGGGTTTATTGTTACAAAGCATTAAGGCTAATATACAAAATAGATATGATACCATAATTAGAAGCACAATTTAAGCATGTTTCAGAAGGATATTATACTCAAAACTTCATCATCCTTTCTTTCAGGTTGATAATTATAGTCTTCATATTTCCTAATGGTTTCGTTCCTGGTACGTGACTTTAACAATCTAAAGGTTAATTAAAATGACATGGAGCCATTTATGTATACAGGATATTATAAAATAATACAAAGTAAAAAATTGTATAATGAATTACATATCAAACCCAACATCTGCTATAGAATCTGGAATCTCGGATTCAAGTTTAATAAGATCACGCAACGCTAATGAACGCATAATTACACTAAGTAGTTTATTAAGAAATTCTAAGATAGGTTAAGAGTAAGTTGTTGTTAAATCATATCATTATTTATTTAATAATTTAATTTTTTTTTAAAAAAAAAAAATACCTTGAACAGAAGCTTCCCAATCATTCCAAATCTTATTATCCTGATAATCCAAAGCGGACATCAAGTAACTAGCGTCTCCATATGTTCTTTTACTCAAGGACAAAAACCCGAAAAGTTTTTGAAATTCATGCATAACTATAACCATATAATTTAATTATAACGAAATGTTATATAAAAATTACCTAAAATATTAAGTCGCACTAATTATTTGTAACTCACACTTAAGGGTACATAATTGAGATATGAAGTCTGATGATTGAAAACTCATTTGATTATCCTCAACTTGTAATCCCATCGCAGTTCCCTTCCAATAACCTTCTACTGCGCCCCAATTTTCTCGAGATGGCCGATATGCTAATAAAGCCAATCGAAATATTGGTATATGAAATAATGCTTGGAACAATGAACCGGCATAACCATATTGTGAAATTGCTCTTAACCCAAGCGGACTTTTATATATCACAATTTGTTTTTTTTTTTAAAAAAAAAGAGAAAAAAGAAAACGAATCATTTATTAATTAAATTTGAAAGATATGAAAAAAGATAAATCTAATTACGTACGTTGTGTCCAACTTCATACGTTTCATTGGTTGTACTGGATCCGACCAATTATTAAAAACTTCATCAGTTCTTTGATCATTGTCATTCTAAATAAAAAAAAATAAACATTAAATATTTTAATTATTTATAATCTATATGAATTATTAATATCATTAATTACCTTATTACCATTATTGTATAGAACAAGAGCTTGACTGTCATAACCTCCACCTGTAGATTTATCTCGAAGACTTTCCGATAATGCTCTTTGGAGATTTTTCTCATCTACCATTGATGCATTAATTGCATGATTCAAATTTGAATCTAAGTTTAAGAAATATTAAGTTACTTAAGCATACAAAATAATAATTCACCTGAATCATTGCGAGGAGTGGTAGACTCATTCCATTCATTTGGAGTTTGTGGAGTTTGATTATCTGTTAGGGTCGTAAGGGTAGCCATCTAAAAAGAAAAAAGTTAATTTACGAATTTAAAAAGTAAGAGTGACGAGTAAAAATTATACATACCATTTCATCACCACTGTTAGGATTAAAACAGTATTCTACGGCACGGGCCACATCAACACATTTCTGCGAATAATAATTAATTATAATACTTTAATTTATTTGGAGAGATAATGGATAATTCACTTAGAAACATTTATTTTAGATTCACCGATAAGGCTTCTTGTGCTTTGCTTCTTTCGAACCCCTATAAATTCTTTATTTAACGAAATTGTTCACATAAATGATACGTTTAAGCGAAAGATTACCATTTCTAAAAGCTGGTCTAGTGCTTCTTGGCTAACATCCGCCATTATTGAAGATATTCCAAGAAAACGACAATAAAAAGTAAAACGTTTACGAAAAATGCTTTTGATGGTATTTTTTAGTATGCGTTACACTCATGTAACTTCGGAAAAACTGTCAATAGGCAGCTGCGGCTGTAAAATTTGAATAATAATTTTTTTTTTTACAGATTTCATAAATAGATTAATACTTAAGAACGGGCGGATAAGAGAGACCGTGTGAAAATTACTAACCTTAACTTAATCCTAATACTAAAAATAACTTAACTTAAATGGATCACTTGGTATATAAATAAATAAATCAATTGTTATTGATAGTTCTTTTTTTTTTTGAGCTTTTTAAAGATGAAGTTATTTAAGCTAAGAACTTTAACTATAAACCAAAAAGCATACTTGAAAAGTTATTCAAGCAAAAATTAAAAACAATACCTATTAAAATATAATTTATCTAATACATTATCTATTAAATCAAGAATTAATTTATTTAATTAACAGCTGATTTTTAATATTTTTATTGTAAATAAATTGTAAAAACAAATTCATCTTTATCTTACAAGAAAATTAAAAACAAATAAAATTTTTTAATAATTTTAAACTTTATATATAAATAAAATATATATAAATATATTTAATAATTATTTATATATTCAAAAATTAAAAATATAATATTATATATATAAATATATGTAAATTTATCCAAATTTATATATTTTAAAATATATATAAAATTAGATATAAGTTAAAAAATTTTTTAGATATCATTATATTACTAAATTATTACTTATTTATATTTTTTAATTAAAAATTTTTAAAATATAAAATTACATTTTTTTTTTATAAAGCAAAATGCTAACTAATTTATATTAGTATTTAAAGATAGTATTATCATAAATTATTATTAAAACATAAACTACAATATTAAAATTTAATATAAAATAATTTGTGATATAATATTATAATATATTTTTAAAATGTTTAAAAATTATATAATTAATGATTACTAGAAAATGGAAATTTATTGAATTTAAAATAATCTTGATTAAAAAAATTCATACTGATATTTACTTTTATCTAAATTTTTGTGTAATTATAAAGCCAATTAGCATTAATTCAATTATTAAGTGAATAGATATCAGAACATCATATATTATCTTATATAGTATTATATAGTCTTTCACTTCATTTCAGATAATAATAATATGATATAGATTGTAATATTAAAAAATAAATTAGATTAAATTTTAATTATATAAAATATTTCTTAAGTAATTAATTATAAAAATTAAGTAATAATAATTATATTATATTATTTTAAGTTAATCAAAATTATTCTTTTAAGCATATAGTAGACAAATTTATTTAATAATTAAAATTATTTTTAATATTTTAAATATTTTAAAATAATTTATTTAAAAGTTAATATTTTTATAATAAATTTTATGATATTTTTTAAGTATAAATTCAAAAAAAAGTAATTAATTAATAATATTTTAAAGATAAATATTTGATAAATTATTATAAAAAAAAAATTAAAATTTTAATCTTATATATATTGCTATCTATTAATCTCAGAAATATAAAATTATAATTATTTAATAAGTTTTAATAAGATAATTTAACAAAATAAATTTTATTTTTTTATAATTATTAAATAATTAATTATTTTGAAAATTGAAAATTGAAAAATTAATATATATTAATAATTATTAATTTTAAAAATTTAAAAATATTATTATTAGATACATCTTAATTATAGATGAGAAATTATAGTTAATTAAGATTTGGTTAATTAACTAGTTAATTAATCAAAAATTAACTATAATATAAATTTTAATATAAAATTTTTATTAATTTTTTTATTATCGTTTATCATAATATTACTTATTAGATGAAAATTTATTATATTATATATGGGGTATATTGCAACAAAATCAGACAAAATGAACATTCTATAAATAAGGGACTGATTATGATATGGCTGTAAAATTGATCAGTATGACTGATGACTTTTTGAAAAGTAATAATAGTGCTCATTCATAACTTATGACTTATTAATTTTAATGTTCACTTTATCATACTAGAATGTGATGAATATAAACTATAATATAATTAATATAGGGTTATCTCTATATAAAAAATATTAATATGAAACTAATTTATATTAAATCTACTATAGAACCAAAGAATTATAACATTATTTGAAGCATTCTCAAAAAGGAACAATTACTTTCTTAATTTTATCAAGGTCATTTTTTAGTCTCTTTAACTTCAATTTGAGCACTTAGACCATTTTGTTATCCTTTTAATAATTTGTTTTCCTCTTCTAACTGTTTAATTTTTTTTTCTAAATTCTTTATCTTATCCAACAATTCTTACTTCTATCTTTTACTTCACTTTTCAGACTTCTCTTGAAATTTGGCTACTTCTTCTCTTTCAATTTCTAATACTTTCTCAGTCTCATTTAGTTATTCTTATAAGAAATTTATTTGTCTTTCATAAAAAGCAACATACTTTCTTTTTCATGAGGCAAGTTAGGAAGTTCCTTCTCTTCTGGATTTTCATTTCTTTTAACACAACGATAAACAACTTTATTAGTAAGATATTTAATATCAAATTGAATTCTTAATCGACTACATCTATTATACTTTAACAACTCATTATTTTTAAAGCTTACCTTACAATTTTCACAAATAAAATCATTTGCTAATATTTTGTTAATGATTTAACTACAGGTTTTTATTTGATAAGATACTTTGTTAAGGCCAAAGCAAAAATCATATACTGAATCATTATTACACTAATCTTCTAATTCTAAAAGTATATGAATTAGATTTTTCATATATTAATAACTGCCAATTTTTACCTTTATTTTAGCAATAAGTTTTTATTCTAATTCTTGTTTTTCAGATTTAACTTTTTCTACTAAATGTTGAAATTTAGTTTTTATTTTTCTCTTAAAGATTTTGAATTTGCTTGGCAACTTAGGTAAAGGTTTATTAGATAAACTTTTAAACTGTTTTGTTTTTCTTTTACTAGTCTTTCATTAAGCTTTTTTAAAGCTCAATTATCTTTTTTTGATTGCTCTACTAACTTCATATTTTTGACCTTTTCTTCAGCAAGTCTTCTAATAAAATCAAGTAATGTAGTTTTAGTGCTGTCAAGTTCTTCTTCCAGTCTTTCTTTTTCTTTCTTCCCTTATTCACAAGCATCTTACATAGCTTCAATATGAGTTTGACCTTCACTTTAAGCTTCTTTAAGTTCCTTTTATAATCACTTAATATACTCTTCTAATTTCTTATACAAGTTAAAAATTTCAACAATACTTTTACAATAATATTAATTAAATCAAAAATTGTTAATAGCAAGTTTTTCTTTATCAATAAAACTTACATGTTTACCATTTTTATGATAGCTTTCAAGAGCTTTTAAATGATTTAATCACGTTTTTGTATGAAATTTTAGACAATCAATATCTTTTCTTGTTTTTAATGATTTTCTATTGTCATAATTTTTCCTTTATTTTATTTATTCTTTAATATACTTATATCTTTTTATATAAGGAATATTAAGTATATATTTATTTTAATAATTTTTTTTTATTTAAGTTTTAAAAATTAAAAGCAAGGAAATTCTATTCATTATCAGTATAAATTGGTTGTGAGCATGTAATGTCTTTAAACTCATCTCTGACAAATGGTCAAATATTATGATAAAGATATTCCTGTCTTTTGTAATCCAAAAGAGGAGGCATCAGCACTAGAATTAAAAAGAATTTGATTTCTTTGGTAATTTCAGAAATGCTTGCTTTTCTAGTTTTTAACAAATTAAATTCAGTAAATGCACCATTAGCTACTAGCTAGACTTTGACAACTCCAGGTCAAAAAGAAAATGCTGATATTTTTTTAAGCCACTCAATTTCTTAAAGAAAATTCCTAACACAGAATTAAGATCTAAATATTGAAAACCTTTGCCATTGTCATAATACTGAGCTTTATTTAATCTCACTGTACTTGATTTTTTCACAACTTCAACAATATGATCTATGCAATCTACTATTATTTTACAGTATAATTTCTTAATCAATCTAAAACTACCATCATATTTGAATTTAGTATGTTCAGGTACTATAAAATTTAGCTCAATACTTTCATAATAACTGCAAATTACTAAATATAAGTAAAATCAAATAGTGGCATTGTTTTTATTTTATCCTTCTGCATTATCACAAGTAATCTTTAAATATTTTTCACCTTTATTCAATTTTTTAATTTTATTGAATATCAGGCTCAGTGAGCTATTAGAGCCTTTGCTGATAATTTTATCTTTATTGAAAATATAATTAATTTGTTCATGTACTGTTTTATCATAAATACCAAATAAATGCATTTTACGCAGACTGAGATAATAAATCTTACTTACTTATTGATCAGAATGAGATATGTGAACATTTTGCACTCAATCGTAACTATAATGAGCAATTGCATCAATACTACAAAATTGGCTTTACCTCCCATCACAAGATAATTTTCATTTACTAATTTTCTCTATTGTTATGTTAATTTCGTATTTTTATTATAATAATTTCTCTCTAATTTAGCTTTAACTAAATGTTCTTTGTACTTGTTTAGTAAGTCTCTTGCTTCTTTTTTCTTATAAGCATTGTACTGTAGACCATTCCAAAAATGTTGGCACATATCACATAAATCCATTTGTGAACTCATAATTTGAATATAAGACGTTAATTAGTACTATAACTTACAAAACGCATCATTTTTTAACAATTTTAATATACTATAATTTTCGATACCTGCAATAAAATTACAATAGACTAATTTATAACTCATTTCAGCTGGCAAAAGTGTAAGCGATTAAGTAATGCGATTGATATTTCTACCAGGACTTGGTAATCCATGAATTTCAGCATAGTTTTTGAGAAAATTCTTCACAGTGGTAGCAATGGTTATATCAATAGTTATTTTAGTTTTCTATCTCAGCACTCTTTTTACATTACCATGAATACATGAAATTATACTATTTATTGTCAGGTGATTTTTAACGTTTTTGAAGTGAATGCGGCTAATTCTTAATATATTTAGATATATTTTCTGACAAAGTGACGTATTGCAATCTCAATAATAAAAGGTTTTCTTATTAGTATGTGTTTTCTTTTTAAGATATCGACTGGCAGTTATTTCTCCACCATTTATTGCTTTTAATTAGGCCATTAAAAATATATCTTGCTTGGATCTAGAAAGAGCTTGAAATGCCTTACGTAATTCAGCAAACTTCTCTCGTAAAGTCATTTTTGAGCAACCACAATTACAATCTATCTTCAAGAAACGTATAATTTTTCGCACTCATTATTATTATATTCATTATTTTTTATATATAGATAATCCTATATATTAGTTTTATTATTGATCAGCTCGATCATGTGACATGTAAAGAAATAAAAATTTCTTAGATCACATGATTTAATTTTGACCATTTTATTCTTACTACTATTAAAAAGAGTTTCTGCAGTCATAGCAGAGTTAATGTTATAGATATTTCTTGAAAGCCATAAGAGTACTTTTAAATGCCTTAAAAAATATATACAAGCTGATAGCGACTTGAACAATCTTCAAAGTAATCTTTGTGAATGTTAAAAATTCCTCAAAAACGTTGAGCTAGGTGACATAGAGATTTCTCCTATGATAAACGCAATGAGCCTCTTAGCGGAAATATGCTTCTTAAAGACCTGATTACTATTGCTATTGCACTTTTTATTATTCGCTATCCAGTGTTAGACTCTGATGGTAAACAAACGTTTTCTTCCACTTTTGCCTGTTAAAGGCTAATAAGTTTTACTTATCTTTGATCTATAGTTATTGTCTGCTATAATCTTTTTATGAAGTGGTTTAGATATGATTTTCCGCATTCCTCTGATCTTTGATACCTTATTCGTGCCTATTATCAAAAAAAGTTCAAAACTCTGCAGTCAGACGTTTTATACGATTTCGTGTACAATAAGCAAAAGAATAAATAATAAGGCAAGTGGTGAGAAGAACATTGAGAACAAATATCAGCTTAATAAGATAATATCAAAAATTAAGCCAAATGAGAATAATGAGTGTGAAATCTATCTCTCTATTCAGATTGAAGGTTAGTTGCAAGCATGAAATAGAAGCAATAAAAATATTAATGTGACTTGTCTTTGATTTTTGTAGGCAGAAAAGCGTATGGTGACTGGGAGTTAGCAGAAGTTCTTCAGCAATTCCTAAAACATCAGGGATCATTTTTGGCTGATATTGGCCAATTTAATATTAGTAACAATATGCTATATTTTCTGTTTGCAAATATTATTGCATATTATCATTAATTATTTCTTGTATGATTCTTGTCTTGCAGTTGAACTTCCAGATCAAGACCCTTCTATCGAATCTGATGCACTCCAGATGTTTATCAAAGACCTAAAGCAAAAAAGGAATAATTTTCATATTATTAATGCAAATGAGATAATATGCAGAGAATTTATCTTTTTATTCATAAATAGCGCAGTAACTCATGTGCGATCAAAAAAAAGTAAACTTCAGCTTAAAACTGAAGAATGGATTAATGAAAGTTGTGAATATAAGCCTATTGTCTACTCTGTCAATTTAGGTAAGGTGGTTGTTTGATTGAAGAAACTAAGAAAAAAGATTTTAAAAAGGGAGCCACTCAGAATATTGTACAAATGTATAGTACTATTGAGGTAGGAAAATAATGTATTTTTTTTCTTTCAGTTCTACTACTTGCTTTCTATATAACATAAAATCAACCATTTTTCAGACAATAAAATAAAATAGAAAGCGTAAAATAGATGAGACAGAATCAAAGAACATTCTAATTCTAATATACAGAATTGTGATGAATAGTATAGAATGGTATTTTTTTTGATGAGCAGGCTTTCTAAAAGATGCAATAATAGAGCTTTTTAGTTCATATACCTGTGATTTTTCCAATAATATGAAGGATGCAAAGCGTATTATTAATTATATCATCTCTATTCTCTAATCATAAGTTAATGGTTTAAAAAATAGTACTGAATGCTGTACAATTAAACGGCATCATACAATACCCTCAGTTTCTCACTCTGGCTCTCTTATAGATGAATCCTAATTGCAAACTCATTTGTTTCACAGTTGTTACCTTGCTATTATTCTTTCTAATATTAAAAATACTTTCCAGAGTTGACAATTCAATTATTTAGTTTTTTTTTCCCACTAACACTTAGGTTTATTTCAACTATATGTTGCAAAACTTTAATGCTAGCAAGTTGCATAACAGATAATTATATCGTTAAATTAACCATTAGTAGCAAAATCTTGCCAATTCTTAAAGAACTTCTGCAAATAAATATAATACTATTAGCAGAGTTAAAAGTAATAAGAAAAAGAAGCAATAAAAGCTATCAAAGATAAGATATTTACAATAATTGATACATATATTTTGTTGTCTTGACTTTATTATTTCTTTAAAAACAAAGTAGATATATTTGAAGATTCACTAGAGCGATTGTATGAGAGGAAATACTCAGACTTAAAGTTATTGATAAGTATCCCTTTACTTTGGTCGCTCTAGCGAAATCTATATTATATATTATTATAAATGCTATTAATATCTACATTTCTCTTATCCTTTTCTTTATCTACCCATTTTTTAAGTGCTTCGATCATTTTTCTCGAGAATTGGCCTTTTAAAATAAAAGTGATAATGCTTTTTCTTCTATGCACTTTGTGGTATTTTATAACCATTTTGTTAAATACAACTGAGTCTAGCTCAGAAGTTCTATCAAATAACTTGTTAAGACTTTCCTATAAACTTGATAAATATTTTCGCTCAATAAGCAGCTGATATATTGATTTAATTGTCCTTGATTTTATCGCTTGAAAAAGCGTTTGAATTATGATGTGAACTTGATTGTGAGTTTTATAGTAAAATGAAGTACCAGCGATATAAATAAATATGATCAGCAATAGTAACTTGCAGAAGATTTTAATAGTGAAAATAAACATTTTGAGTAATATTGTTATTTGATTTTTGTAGATAATAAAATTATTTTTTAATAATGCGGTTACAACTTAGTCGATTATAATTTTCTTTAAGTGAAAATCTGGGTTAAATAGTGTTGATTTTATACCAATTTCAAAATTATAAGCATTTATTAAGTATATATCATAACCATAGACTTGAAACAATTGATTTACTGATCAAACAGCTGCTCTCCTAATGATTTATTCTAGTGTTTCCTTTTATTACCTTTAATACTTACCCATTATTTTTAAAACGATACAGGTTTTGCTGATCATGAATTATATCAGATTTGTAATACTTAGTATTAGTATTAGGGTACAGCAAACCAAAATTATTGTATTCATTACTATTCTTACTGAACAGCATAAAAATTATAAAAATTTGTCCTGATTATCGATAATTATAAAGAAACAGATATTTGCTTTATGTTTTTAGCTTTTATTTCTTTTTTAGTTCATTATGTGTTGATGTTAATGATCTTTTATAGTTTATTATTTTTTGTTCTTCTTGGTAAATCTCATAAGTGATTTTTTCTTTTTCAAATATTTCTAGAGAGTTTGGGTATCATTGATTTTAAAAATATAAAGAATAATTTTCTCTCCTTGAGCTTTCTTAAGAATGCTTCTAATAGTGCTGTAATTTTTTAATTCTATAGTGGATTTAATGTAAATTAGTTTCATATTAATATTTTTTATATAGATAACCCTATATTAATCATATTATGGTTTATATTCATCACATTCTGGTATAATAAAGTGAACATTAAAATTAATAAGTCATAAGTTATAAATGAGCACCATCATTATTTTTTAAAAAGTCATCAGTCACACTGGTCAATTTTACAACTACATCATAATCAGTCTTTTATTTATAGAATGTTCACTTTGTCTGGTTTTATTGCAGCATGCCTTATATTATAAATAGCTATTTACAGTCAATGCTTATTATAATAAACCTACCCAATAAAAAATTTGATATAAAAATTCCATAAAAATATTAAGTTTTATAACGTATAACTTTTATGGAAAATCA